TGTTCTCCCGGGTATTTCAAAAAACCTGAAAAATGTTTGAAAAGAAAACTCAAAATCGGAAATAAATTCGAATTCGCGCACTTCTTCCTCCGGGGGGACTAGAAAACTCACACACGGCCGCTACTCGGTAAATGTGGGCAACTTCTTCCCCAACTCTGGGCAGCTTTTGTCCCAACGCCAGGCAACTTCTAGCATTTCATAGTTCAAACCATGCCCAGCTTTAGGAGAGCTTCTGCCCAGCGTTTGCCCACTTGTAGAAAGCCCGCTCTGGCCCCTTCCCTTCCCGCTGTTCCCCTTCTTCCTGAAACATGTTAATGTTTGCTAGCTTTGCAAAACACTATTCATTTTATTTTAGAAAATAGAAAAAATAACAGGAAAGGGTGAGAAACAGAAAAGGAAAACAGAAAAAAACAAAAATGTTAAATGAAACAATTCGATCAACGAAAATTATAAGGCGATCTCCAAACTTTGTCTCCTAGGCATCTTGGTCTCCAACTTCTAGTTTAGACTTGTAGTCTTTCCACGTCAAATGTGTCGAACACTCCGATCTTTTCTGCAAAAATGTAAAATTTAGCTTGGATGTAAAGAATATTAGTTTTCTCACCTTGCAATTCACGAGAATCCCGTTCGCTGTGTCATAATGATACGTGCGAAGAAGTTGCCTGGAAAATATCTATTTTTGAAGAAGAGTTTTCTGAAAACTTACAAAGCACCATGAATTGCGTGACGAACAAGCTTATCAGCTGACTCGTAAGAGTTTCGGGGTCTAACAATCTTTTTACAAGCTTCCTCGAATGGGTATGTCAATCTTTTCACGAACTTTTCGTCCATATCGGCGTCGGCTGGAAGAAGTCGGGTGGGGATGTAATTTGCGATGGCGTCCATTCCGAAATCTGAAAATATTGAATAATGTGATCCGAGACCAAAATCTACACACCTTTAAGCACCGTCACTAACGTTTCTGGGAAACGATCGAAGTGTTTGTCGCCACGCCTTCCACTGTTTGGGCGATAGGAAATAGTCCAAATTAAGTATTGAGGTGATACGAGCTAAAATAGCTGATGCATTTTTATAAAATGAGTTACTCACTTTGAGAAAAATCGTTTTGAATATGTTCATCAGTTGATTGGATGATCCTGTTCCTCTCGGGGGAGTTGAAAAATTAACCTCGCCCAAATGAACTCGACAGAAGATTCCTTCGCCAGGAAAGATGTGAGGAATTTCAAGAAGTCGCTTTTTCAAGTCATTCAACGCGAATTTCGAGCTTTTCGCTGAGCTGATAGAAGAGATTCTTGCTACCACATGAGCATGAAAAATGTCTTTCGCGACTGAGTCGGAAAAGTTGTTGTGAAGAAAAATGACAGCAACATACGATACCGCATTTTCGATGTCTGAATTACATACAGTTACAGACAATGCGTGTACAAAAATTTCGCTTCTACAACGCTTACAAATTTTAGCTAAAACTAACTGAAGAAGTCCATTGTCGGCTCGTTTGCGTCATCACCACTACTTTCGAACGCTTCATTTTCATCCATTACATCGTCATTCGAATCATTCGTAGTTGGGTTGTCATAAATGT